CAAGTCCTAACCCTAACCAAGGACCCCTGCGACACCTCTGGTTTACTGCTCTTCTTGCTCCCCGCTCTGCGCATGTGCTGCGTTTCGACCTCCTCCTCGTCTTCCTCCTCGTCCTCCGTTATCTTGCTTCCCCTTCATCTTCGTCATCATAGTCTTTGCGTTCTTCTGCTTGTCCTTGTCTTGGTGCAGTCATCTTTCCCTGGGACGTGCTACAGGGTTCATAAAGCTATGGTATTCCGACGACGATTGAGGCACCACCAGAGGCAAGACCAAGTGTCGACGTCGCAAGGCTAAACCAGGAGGGAGACAGCCACCGTTAGGGAGGATCGCTTTTTATGAACGTGCGCTTGCACATCACGCGTGTTTTCTTTCTCTGTGTGTGATTACTACCGTCATCACTAAGAACAACACACTTCTCTCGTCATCATGTCTTCTTCTGCTGCTGTGGCTTCCAAGGGTAAGTCCAACAACACCAAGATCATTATTGGCCTTTTCGCTGGCATCATTTTTGCAGGGCGGCTTGTTATGTCATCAGCTGTGCGGTGGTGGTGGTGGTGGTGGTGGTGGCGGTGATGGAGTGCGTGGTGCGTCAGTGGAAGAGAAGATTCAACACTACACTGGTTCATTCAGGCTGACGATTTCCTACCTCAGGGACATAGGAGGAGAGCAGATACTGGATGGCGTTCCACTGGCCGTAGGCTCCGATGTTCACCTGCTTGGACGTGATGAACCTGCTCACCACCGTCGGATTCACTCCGATGCAGCCGCCGTTCGGGTCCCGTTGGCCCGGTGCGATCCAGAACGCCTGTAGCGTTGCGAGTGTGAACAACGAAATGAAACCAAAACAAACAGGCGTTGCAGCTATGAGAGAGACAGCGGAGACTACGCACGGGCTTGCTGACTGTGCGGTAGATGTTGCCGTTGGTGTTGGCGCCGAGCAGTACCGACGATGTCGTCGGCCCAGCGCCGTCGTTCATAGATCCCGCCTCGGTCAGGTTGTAACACTCGCCGTACTGGTTGCTGATGGCGTATTGCAGCTCGCGTCCGTGGTCGGCGGCGTTGATGAACTGCATGCCGTTCCACGCGAGGTAGTCGATGGCGCCCGCCACACGCAACGAG